TCTCCCGCACAGTCACTGGGGTTCCCTGCTTCGCCTGTGCTTTGGGTTAGCTCTGCTCCAGCTGCCCGAGCACCAACCGTCCTCAAACAGAAGGAGTTTGAATTAGTTGTTGAACTAATCAGCGGATGCAAATAAGCTTCAAGACGGAGAAAAGCTAATTTGCATCTTCTTTTAACACCCGGTGCCAGTGCACCAGTTTCTGGCTGGGGGGGGGCAGAGTCAGACTGAAAATCTCAGCAGAGACAAGACCAGGGCTGCCTTTGAAAGAGCAATTAAATCGAGCCACCTCGTGCTCACAGGGTGATAGAGGGTCGGAGGCAAAGCTGCTTTTGATGTGCAAATAACCTGCAGCAGCTCTCCCCACCAGCCTGCTCCCCTGCCTTACATCTGCCAGTCCCAACTGAAAACCCAAGGGGCAGGGTGGGGGAAACGTGTCCAATGTTTGCTCTCCTCCCCTTCTGAATGAGCTGACAGCTGGCGTGTGCTTCTCAGAGGGACCTGACTGGCTGACATCAGTTGGCGAAGGGGGTAAGACCCCCAGGCAGTCCTCATTAGTCATTACCAAAAAAAAAGAAAAAAAGAAAACAGTGTGTAAATGCACTAAGGCAGCAGCTGGGAGATCAGCACGTCCCATTTAGCATGGTACCTGCTGTCTCCACGCCATGAAATATTGGGCTGTTTGTTTAGCATCCGGCTAAGCGCCATGTCAGGAGCTGCCTGATGATGGCTCACAGCGCAGCCCAGCCCGACGCCACACAGAGGGGCTCCCCTTCCTCCCGGTGCTGAGTGCCCCTTTGCTTTCCCACTCCATTTTCCTGGCGAAGGGCTATGTTCTCGGCTCAGTGCTAAAATAGCTGTGCTGCAAGCCCCAGCCTGCTCCCCGGGCCTCCGGCTGATGGGAGCTAAAGCTATTTTTGTCATTCCTCCCTTACAGGGCCCTGTGCCAGGCTCAGGCTGTTTGCTACCTGGGAGCTTCTAGTCTGTAGGACAGGCTCTGCTGCAACCTGGGGACCTGCCTGCGCACAGGGTGCCAGCGATGCCCTGCCTGTGTTGGCAGATGCGTTTTCTCCAGCAGCCAGGAAACACGAGCCAGGAGGAAGACAGAGATTTCTGCCCTGCTTCAAGTCTCCAGAGCTGGAGGAGAGCAGGCTCAGGCGTGCCCTGCCATCCCGGCAGGAGCCACTGATGGTGAGGAGCAGCGTGGCACGGGCAGCGCAGCCGCTGCAGCCCAGCCGCTTGAGTGCATGAGTCCAGGGAACAGAGGGGACAGGTCAGAGCTGGATGTTGCTGCCAAACCTCTGCCAGATACATATGCCTCATTAAACCAGAAGTCCTAGAGGTTTAAACAGCAAGTAAGCCTGAATTAACTCCCCCAGAGAAGAGCTGAAGAGCCTCAGCAGGCTGGTTTTGTGCCTATAAGCACAACCTTCTCCCTTGACCTCACGAAGCCAAGCAAACCAGAACCAGCCCTACCCCTGGTCCCCACAAGCACCGTTCAAAAACTCAGTGCATTTGAAGTCAGTGGCATCCAAGCAGTCTAAGAAGCATCACTGCGTGCACTGCTGCTTCCAGTGGGTCTGATAATTTCTGAAGCAGTTATTGCGCACTGCTGTCTAAATATTTAGTTGAAAAAAAAGTTATTTCCAGGTGATACAGGGTCTGAAACAGCATTGCCCTTCTGGACTGCAGCAACACGGCTGGTTCAGGAGCCAACATGTGGCAGCTCGCTCCATCCCCTCTCCGCTCGCTCCTGGCCGGGCGTGCAGTGCCACTGCGTGGCTGCCGTGCTCCATCCAGCACTGCGCTCGCCGCAGCCCAGCCAGCCTCTCCTCACGACGCAGGCTGAGCACGCAGCTCCCGTGTGCTGCAGACAACAGCTATTTTATCCCCGGCACAAAGCCACCCTCGCTATTTATATTCAACCCAAACCTTTGTCTGGCCCCGGTGAGCCACGCTATCATTGACAGCTTGCCTGTGCACCGGAGCCGCTCACCAGCCTGCCCTGGGCCGCAGAATACATCTCATTCTTTCCCCTTTGCTCCCACCAGCTGCAAGTTAGTAGAGCTTAATCAGCATGAATATTCTTATAATTGCAGAATTCCTTTTGGTTTGCACCTTCCAGGAGCCACGTTGTCCATATGCAGATGCTTGCAGGTATCTCGTGAGAGGCAACTGCCTCGCTCCGCAGCACTCACCCACCCTCGGCAATGCTTGTTCAACCTTTGTCCCCAAAACCTATCACCTGCTGAAGGATTTCAGGAATTCACCGGACTTTGGAATTTCTTCTTACTCGTGTTTTCAAAACCTGCATTACTGAGCACCAACGGCTGCCATCTGTTCATAAAGTTATTCTTGTGCCCTAACCACGGCTCTTCCTCAAGACAAAGTGACTGTAACTGAGGGGGTAAATGGGTAGAAAAAGTCGAAAGAAGTTAGAACAAATTTCACAGCCATCAGACATGTTTTTAGCATACTAGATCCTCCTTCCTCCACATTAAATGAACAGTCTTTCAAGCTCTGTGGGACAATCAAAGCCTTTATTAATACTGAGGATATGGGATTTGTTACAGTGTCTCTCCTGGTAAAAAACACTGCAGGAACCAGCTTGGACATTTAAATGAGGTTTAAAAAAAGTTAATGTCTTTATCTACTTCAAGGACTTGTACTTCTGTACAAGAAACAGCTGAAATTATAGCACAGTACAGCATTTAATAGAAGACCTGAGACAGCCTCGGGCTTTCCTCAGTCAGAACAAACTCTGGTTTAGAGAGACTGCGTCGGTGCAGCTCAGCACATCAGGGCACAACTCTCTAAAGATGGATAGCAAAACCAGCAGAAAGGAAAGGTGCTTTCTTCCCTCATTAAGTGACTGGTTTTGATGTGCACATTGTTCAGCAAAGGAAGGTATGTTTGGGTTTACCTCCGCTCTCTGGAGTACACCAGGAAGAGTCCCAGATCTCCCTGTTTCACGCTGTTCTCAGTCTCTCACCTTCACCAGCCATGCTGCACCCCCAAAGCAGGGAAACTCTTACAACAGGTAACTCATGGAGAGGGACCGACACCAGGAATTTAAGCAGTCATGCCCCAGGCTGTCTGCACAGAACACCTGAATGAAGCTAGGAGGCCCCCCCTCACCCTTAGCAGTACTGTTCATACAGAAAATTTAAAGTCAACATATGCCTAAGCTCATTTTCAAGAAGCCTTTTAAGGTTTCCTAACCTCCTCTAGTGCAAACTACCCGTTAAGACGCATGTGGAAACAGGTATCACGTTACTCTCCAACATTCCTGCAGAGCCTTTCCCCATGACTGCACCACCCACCCACTCCACCGGCACAAAGCATTCAGTCCTGAAGCTGAAGGCCGAATCCCGATCAACAAAAGCGACCAGCTCTAGTAATAATGTGGGGGTGGCTCAAGTGGCCCTCACTGCACACCTAGAAATGGAAGCGAAAAGTGTTTTCAGCACATTATGAAGTAGTTTTATTCATGCAAACAGGATCCTCGGTGGCAAAGGACATCTTGGCCACTGCCGAAAGACCTGAAGTTGTTTTTAACCACAGAATCACAAAAGCTTCCATTTTGTTCAACACCTTCCATATTTAATTTATTTAGATATTCTCTACATTAAAGTATTGTCATGCCAACAGTTCCAGCCTCCCATCCCTACCTCAAGAAAAATAGACTTGACACAGCTTTAGGGTGGAAAGCACTGGAATAAAGTTGCTATTGCGTCCAAGTTACAGAGAACACTGAACAAACTATAGAAAGAACTGCACATAGGAGACGTCAGGGAAAGCTGGAATTAGTACGCTGTCGTTTGAGTCATGTTAGCACCTTCCTAGACAAGCACTGAAGGCGTTTAGAGAGGTGCAACATGCTTTGGTTAGCTAGACCAGAGCTTAGACTACATTAAACCTGGAAAAAAGCAAGTAAGCCTGCCAGGACTGGGCTCGGAGCCTCATCTGAACCAATTTGAAGAAAAACAACACTGAATTGACTAGCCAAGTTTGCAGTGTTTGGGAATGCTGAGCTCTCCTGGCTAGCCAAATCTGTGCCTGGAGTGCAAACCACAACAGTTTCAAACATGACTCGGGACCCAGTGCCACCTAGAGCATGCTTCATAACAGAATTCAAAATATCCATTCACACATTAAGTTGCTTTCTCCTGTTGCATTGCTTAGTACAAGACATAACTTTAAAAGCTGACCTCCCACCAGTACAACTGTGTCAGGTGTAAGAGTTTTTTCACATCTCAATCCCCTTCAGTAGCAGCACAAAGCCTTGAATTACCTACAGTTTTGCCCGCTGGGACACTACTGATCTCGGAATGCTTTAGCTGCTGTTTTGTGTCTCTGGCATTTCCAGAATTCAAAGAAAAAAAAAGGGTAAGTACAAAACTTACTCTGCAAACTTCAATTTAAACCCTTTAATTCAGTAATTAAACCCTATCATGCTACCTTCAGGTAGCAACCCACTGGCCTGTGACCTCTGAAAAGACCCTTTGCTAGTGGAAAAGCACCTAGCGTGCCTACAGTGTCCTCAGTTCATGCATACCTTTAAGAATCTTAAGCCATAGCTGAAAATCGGTGACTTGCATTTTTCAGAAAGGTATGTTGTCATGTACCACGCTTTCCACATATTAGCCTAGTCTTCAGGCACAACAGCAGGACAGCAGAGTGCCATCTGTTCTACCAGCAGCGTGGCAACTGCGTACGATCAGATTGAGCAGATGCTTTGGACAAAGAAGTCACATTTGCTCTTTCATGTTTTTTAAACCATGTGCTCCTGGTTTGAAAGCAAAGATTTGCAATTTCTGGTAATCCTCAGACATTCCCTTGAAATGTCTATAAAAGGTCCAGTTCAAAAAGACAAGCTTCGTGATAGCTATTGCACATTTGTAAGAGCTGGCCTAAATATTCTCCTGAAGATCCAGGCTTTGGAAGAAGGGATATTTTAAAAACTGGTATCAGTGTACATTGGAACACTGGCACAAATGTCACCTATTCTTGGTTTTAATTGTAAGGGCGACAAGTAAACACCAACACATGAAAAAAGAAAACAAACAGCATTTCACAGAGCAAGGAGTTGGAGACGAAGCTGTAGCTAGTGTTTTGCAGTCGAATCTCGAGGATAGAATTCAGCCAGTGTTGACTGAGGAATTCTCTTCAACATCTCCTTGGGGAAGATTCGCAAGAGCTGCCATCCGATGTCCAAGGTCTCGTAAACAGTGCGATTTTCATAAGGACCTGCAGAAAGCAACCACAGACTGAAACGTGGGGCAGGAAAGTGTCTCACCACCAGGGAGATCTGAGAACAAGACCCGGTGTTAACGCATACTGTGATGTTCTTGAAACAGACACTTACCCTGAGCAATGAAGTTCTTCTCAAACTTCTGCAGGAACTCCAGATAAAGAAGATCGTCTGAGGTAAGAGCTTCCTCACCAACTACAGCCTTCATAGCCTGTACATCCTTTCCGATAGCATAGCAGGCATACTAGAAGGGATAGAAAGAAGTGCTTTTACCTTGATCATCCAGGTAACCGTTTCTGTTCAGACCCAAACAAAGGGTCTCAGCTTGATGACACTAAGCATTCAGCCAATGCTTTTAAATCCGCCTCAGGAGTGTTCTGGATCACAACTGTTTGGCATGCCCTTTACAGGCTGTTTAGTGAGCGGTATATTTGAAATATGCCTCTGCTTCTCTGAGGAGGTTTTTACATACCAGCTGGTTGGATACATCTGCATGATCCTTCCTGGTCATACCCTCTCCAATAGCTGACTTCATCAGTCGAGACAAGGAGGGCAAGACATTAATAGGTGGGTAAATCTGGAAGACAGACATCCAAGAATTTCAACATTAATACCTCAAGAAGTACAGAGTAATCTTAAATATGTTCTAACCAGCGTGGTACACACCTGTCTGTTATGCAGCTGCCTATCCACATAGATTTGTCCCTCAGTGATGTATCCAGTCAAGTCAGGAATAGGATGAGTAATATCTGTGGAAAAAATGGTTTGACAGGTTTCAGATCTTTTATATCTGTTCTAGCACTGATGCAGCAGCTTTTTGCAGTTAAATGACTCCTAAAGTAAGATGCCATCAGTTAGTATCCCCACATATCACTAAATGCTCTTATGCAAGGATTAGAGCTGTAGGCACTCCTTAGAGGGCTGGAGAATGGTCCTGAAGTCTGAAATGGGCAAAGCATTTCTATTAGCAATATAGACAGAGAAGGTAGCCAAGAACTGCAATATTCAAAACCTAAAGGCCGCAGGACCTCCTATCTTGCCGTGTGTCCAAAATAAGGCAGGTTGCTCTAAAGGAGTCCTTTAAAGTGCTATTTATTAGAAACACTTGAAGATAACTCACCATCATTGGGCATGGTAAGAATGGGAATCTGAGTAATGGAACCATTTCTGCCTTCCACACGCCCAGCACGCTCATATATAGTAGCCAAGTCAGTGTACATGTAACCTGGGAAGCCACGACGGCCTGGCACTTCCTCTCTAGCTGCTGAAACCTGAGGCAATCCAGGAGAAAGGTTTCCAAGAAATCAGATCACCCTCACAGACCCGCTGTCTCCCCTCATTAAGCTACACTAGTGACTTAAAAGTACTTCTTCCTGTAGGCAATACCAAAATACAGCCCCACAAACCGCTGTTAAGAGAATTATGTCACCACAACCATGTATGACAAGACAAGATGTCAAGCCGAATCAAACTATAATATCAAATTGCTGAAGGCCGCTAGTCAAGTTAAGTTTAGCTATCACAGAAGCAATAGCTGTTTGACTGCTGAACATAATCCTGGACAATCAACAAGTAACTAAAAGCCTCGCTGGCTATTTAAGAACATTGTAATGAATACTAACTGTAACAGCTTGAGCAGAAGTTTACATTCTCACTTTCTATTAGGAACCCTTTCTGCCAACACCCAGCACACGAGTTAATAAATGCGTACCTCTCGCAGAGCTTCAGCATAGGAGCTCATATCTGTCAGAATGACCAACACATGCTTCTCACACTGATATGCCAAGAACTCCGCTGTTGTTAGAGCTAGACGAGGTGTGATAATGCGTTCAATGCTGAAATAGAACAGTACGGCATTATTTATGACAAGTGCTTTAAAGCTGCAAGGTAACAGTTTGAAGTCACAAATACTTTAAAACCCTCTGAAAATCTGCTATGTGCACCGACTGGAGTACCAGCATTTCATATTCAACTTTGCTGCAAAATGCCAACATAAGCGACATCTGGCAGGACACCAGTAAGGCTTCAGCTTCCAGTTTACTTGTTCTTCTCAGCCTTTTCCCAACCAACATAGTGTAACTACTTACGTTGGATCATTGGCCAAATTCAGGAACAGACACACATTGTCCATGGACCCATTTTCCTCAAAGTCTGATTTGAAGAACCGAGCAGTTTCCATGTTCACCTAAATCACAATACTAAGGCATCAGTTCCAGACCAGATTTTAGGTTACTACATTTTGCATCATATTAAGGTCTAAACACCTCATTAATAATCCATAAGCAAAGCTCTCTATCATGAGGACTCCCGTACATTCCCAACAGAATGAGTTATTTCTAGAATTCCAGGCTAGAGATTTTAAGTTTAAGACACTTTATCCTATCAGACACACTTTGTGACAGTATTTCTGGCCATTTGGGATTTTCAGCCATTCAGCCAGCCAGTTTAGCACCATTTAGTTATATACACAAGACCTACTTAGAATACTTTCAAAAAACTAATGTTCAGCTACTCTCAGCATCGGCTTATTTATTACTCAAGCATCATTTTCCTCCAATAATACTGACTTACACCCATAGCAGCAAACACAATGGCAAAGTTTTCTTCACTGTAGTCCATCACATCTTTGGATTTCTTCACCAAGCCAGCTTGGCGACATATCTGAGCTGCAATCTAGGGAAAAAATGTTTCAGTTCATCTGAAATATATTTGATGCTATTACACAGACCAGAATTTAACTTAGCTTACTTCTTAACACCAGTGAAATGCAAGCCACTGTTTAGAGAGTAGCTTTGAGTACTCACCTCATTGTGGGGCAAGCCAGCAGCTGAGAATATGGGGATTTTCTGCCCCCTGGCAATACTGTTCATACCATCTATAGCAGAAATGCCAGTCTGAATCATTTCTTCTGGATAAATACGACACTGGGGATTGATTGGCTGACCTGTTATATTTTTTAAGAGAACACATGTTATGCTATGTGCATGTTTGAAGCTTGATCAAACTACCACTGACCCTGAGCACTGACCTAAGGCTCATGTCAAAAGGTGCGAACCCCACCATTAGGCCTACAAATCTTTAGATGTGCCTGGTCAAACCTGAGCCTTTTGTAGATCCCAAGACTCTGGCATTCTGTGGTCATGTAAGTGGCAAGAGTGCTTTCAAGAAAAGCCTGTCAGGTTATTAGCTTTTTATCTTTGGAGGCTGTATAATTAAGATAGTCTACAAATACTTCAAAAAAAAAGAACAGCTTCCAAGCATTACAAAAACCAGTTATTTTCTGCTACCTCATGTCCCTGCACTTGTATAAATTTGATTTGAGTGTGATGCCACATCAACACTTAAAAGTAAGATTAAACTCCCCCTAACAGTTAGATCCTATGTTCAAAACCAAATCTATTGTAACATTCAGAAATCAGAAACACCAGATTTGTCTTTAACTCCATACCAGAAGTGGATTAAGAACATACCCATTATGTCAAGGAAATCTTCAGCCAAAACAATGGGGCCTCTGTCTATAGGTTTTCCTGATCCATTAAATACTCTGCCTACAAGAAACAGCAATAAAATCAAAATGTAAATTAATGTGAAGATAAGTTAACATGTGATAAGTCTGTTCATTCTTCAAAGCAATATGCAAGTACTTACCAAGCATATCCTCAGAGACAGGGGTTCGAAGAATATCCCCGGTAAACTCACAAGACGTTTTCTTAGCATCAATACCTGAAGTTCCTTCAAATACCTGTAAATATACCAGAAGAAAAAAAAGACACAGGAAAAAGGAGTTAAGTATTGTGCTTTACAAAACAACATACTAGAATGCTGCTTCACAGCTTGAGAACTTGATCAGCCACAGGGCAGAAAAGCAAGGCAGCCCTCTGCAAGAAAAGGATTTCAAGAGCCGCTTGCTAGTACAAAACATCACATAAAAACCTACTTTAAACAAAATCCATGAAGTGTATCAGCAGCAACCAACAAACCCAGTGCCATTCCTTTGATCTCAAGTATTTCCCTTTGCCAGCAGGGTAAAGTTCTTCAGATAAGAAGAATTAATATTAACAAGAAACAGCTGCTTAGAAGAAATACCTGCATCCACATAGCATAGGAGTTGATCTTGAATCTAATACTGTATAATTACAGTACAACTCCTTTAATCTAGCAGCAAAGAAATCTACGGGGGGATGCAAATAAAAATGTCACTGTACTCCAGCTTTCCATCTTCTAAAATTGTTCATGCCCCTTGCACTTGGAATAAGTAGGTGACTTTTTTTTTAATTTACAGTACCAAAAGAACATATCACAAGATAGATTTGACATGGCTCAGGCACATGCTAATTAATAAAATATTTTTCTGTTGCAACAAGAGACACTCCTTCCCTAGTCATACCTGAACCACAGCTTTGGAGCCACTGACTTCCAGAACCTGCCCACTTCTTCTTGTGCCATCAGGAAGAGTCAAGTGGACAATCTCTGCGTACCTAGGAAACTGAAGATGAGCAAGAAAGATGGTGGAAAGCATTAAAATCCAGAAGAACAGTCACGAAACAAAAGTTATCAGTTTCAAGCCAGCTTAAGCTTAGCAACTAATCAATTATTTTTAAAAATAATTTTATCAGAACAAAACTCATTCCAAGGCAATTAAAATTTATCAGGCTAAAGCCATTTTTACAGGGACTATACAACATTTGCTCAGAGTTGCAGGCTGCAGAAAGACCTGACAGAACCCATTCCAAAAACCCTAGCAGTCCTGAAATACTAATGGAAAGCTACGATGCAGCATCTGACAAGAAGAAAGAGCTGGCTTTTGCCTGTACGTAGCATCAGTTGCTTGCCTTCAACAGTAACTTGCCAGTAATTTGAAAACAAGCCAAAAGTGTTTACAGTTCCCTTTTACAGGGCACTTATGCTTTGGTAGCAGAGGTCAAGAACAAAGTGAATAGGTATGTTTCTGCATTCAAGTTTAGACAACATTTTGGGGATTTTGGTGAAACTGAAACATTGTTTCCTTTCTTTCCCCCAACAGTCTCAACAACTCTCCCTTTCTTCCAGGACACAGACAACTCCCCTTAGCTTTACAGCAATTTGCATGTTCTCATTTATCTCAGCAGTCAGAAACATATCTTGTATTAAAATTGCTCAGTGGACCCATGAATTTCACAACAGCCGGATTTAACCTGTCACAGCTTTTCTTGTAAACTCTCCCTCAAAAAGCTTCATTCATTAAGAATCTGAGTCTTTACCTTAACCTGATCCAAGATAACCAGGGGACCATTCACACCCGACACAGTTTTATAAGCTGGAAGAAAGCAAGCCACAAGTCAGGTACTTCCTAGAACATCAGAAATATCCCACAAAGTTTTCAAAATTTCATTCCTATCACCAGTCTCAGGTCTGCAGATTTTGGGCCTGGCTCTGTACTGCTTTTATGTTTATTATGAGCTCTACAAGAAGGATTAGGTACTGAACTGTGCGGCCAGCATTTTTTGCTGCTACTTGCAAAGCACCTGAGGTAACATTAAGATATACGATACTGCCATTTTCTTGTCCATCACAGAAGTCTATACCCAGGGATAATTTGAATGCCATCAGAAACACCAATACATTGTAGAGTTGACATTTTAAGCTAAGAAAAATATACAGTTGCAAGATCTTTAAAAAGCAGGGATAACAACATCTAATCTGTGATAAAGAAAGTGCCACTGCAATTTATGTCCAACAAATCGTGAGAAGACCTTAATATCAATACTCAACTTCTAGGCTTTGTTTTTTTAACCACAGAAGTGTCCTGCTCCATGACACTGAAACAGCTCATGTGAAAGCCTGTCCTTAACAAAGCAAACAGATGTCGTGCTCAAAAGCTGATCAGCGGAGCTTCTACAGTAAGTTGTGGGTTTTGGCACACTGCTAAGAAGAAACCTTATAATACCTTTCCTGTCTCCCATGAAAAGGTCAATGCACTATACTGTAAAAGGTTGAATTTCACCTTAGCCAAACTCCTCCTGCTCTTGAGTTGTCCTGGTTTAACTTAAGGATTGACACCTGATTGACACCTGATAGAAGGCCACAGCTAGCCAGCTCATCAGAAGGCTCATGTCTTAAACATCAGCAGCTCAAGTATTAGCACTACATACAACTTTGAGGTATCGCATGCCCAGAATTCATCACTCTGCTATCAGCCCAGTGGAAACGCTGTGAAGACGTAGTAAACAGTCCTCCTGCGCTGCTCTAAGGACACACTAGCATCCCAGCTAGAACCCAGCATCACTTGATCCACAGATAAAAGTAACATTGAGTCAAAGCTTTATCATGGTCACAAGGAGCAGTGACCAAGAGAGTGACTGTTAATCACTTATCCCTGGGACGGAAAAATGAGCAAGTGAAGCCATTTGCAGAACAGGAGAGACACCAGCAGCCGTTCTTGGTCACGCTACAAGGCAGAGGAAACAGGCTCTCGTGGTACTAGGAAAGATCACAAATTCCACCAGCACCAGGCCACAGGGAATCATCTGGCTTAGACACTTCAGTCTGCCCAGGTTTGGCACGCTTACATGCGTTGTCTAGACTGTCAACAACGCGGTATTTACACTTAAGCAAACAGTTTGAACTGTTGCAATGTAATCTCTTAATCAGCAATAATCAAAACTGCATTAGATAAGGTTTGAGGGTCACTGGGTGTGTAAGATAGTCTAAGGCTGGAACTCCTACTTCTTAGTTTTAGTCTTGTCAAAATCCTGCTAAGCACCCTGAGACACAACATGTGTCCCTAAATTAGTCTAATCAAAAGCACAGGCTGGCCTGCTCCTTTCACCTGAGCAAGGAGAATTACACAGACATTATGCTACGAAGACTCTGCTTAGACTGCAAGTGCTTGCAGCACACTGTCCACAAGAAGTGGAAAACATTATCTTGAGCAAAGCCTTTCATCTCATGACTGTCTCATGAGCACTTCCTTCTCAGTCAACAGGAAAGGACTTACACTCCTTGCTTTGTCCACACGAATATATTTCCTTGACATCAATCAGCATCAATGCCCCTTGAAAGCAGCTTGCCACCGACTCAAAACTCCTGTTTCCCATAAGATCAACCAGTTCTATGACAAACCAAAAGCAACCGAAGTGTTTTTCATATCCAGCTTGCAAGCAACGTCAGTTTGGGCAAAAGCCAAACTCTACATAGAAAAACATTAATTGAATACAAAGTCCAACCATGGACATTGGCTCCAACCATGACAGAAGCCTCCACTCCAGAATAAAGCAGAGCAGTAGACTTGGGGGTACAGGAATGGTAATGATCGATCTGGCTTTCAAACCAGACTGACATTTTCAAAGAAACCATTGCAGAGAAGCTTCCTGGCTACCACGTGGTAAGTACTCACGCTATTTAGGCGTACAGGTAGAGTCACTCATGGAAATAATACCTAGATCAAAAAAGAGGCCAGAAAAAAAACGCACCTTCAAACAACTTTGACTTTCCCCCTACTACACTGCAATAAAGGTCATTTTATTTTTTTATACAAGGATATTGTATTTCCCCTTTTTCATCAGATTTCTCAACTTCATTTTAAAGGAACAGAACCCACACCACCCCCCACAATTCACAGCAATTTTCAGTTCCTGCCAAAACGTAAGTTTTTCACGAAGGACACTGAAATGGCCTATGTTACCCAGCGGGGAAGAGCCTCGTGGCTCCAGCGTGACTAACTTAAGTACTTAGGCAGGACAAAGCCGTGAAAAGCACCGCTGCAGCACCCGGTGCAATCAGACAGCGGCCCGCAGCCCTCCAGAAGCCCCCGCGCACCTCCCGGCCAGCCCGGCGCCCGTGCCCGAAGGAGGGCCCGGGCGA